GCGTAGTTAAGATGTTTGTTCCAGACTTCTTCACACACTGACTTGCCTGGATGGAAATCATCTCCCCTCAAACCACTCCATGAGATTGTGACCAGACTGCAAATGGATCCCAAATATGTTAGATGTCTAAAAGAAAATCTTCCTCCAAAGGGTTTTTATTCCATTACCTTAACAAAGCAAATCGGGTTTTTAGGAGACCAACATGGTGGCATAACGGACTAGCCCTCCATCTGAAGCAACAATATCCTATGTGGATGCCAGTTTGGTCCTGGCTGCTCCACCTCCGATCCAGCTCTCTCCTAATGGGTAGGAAAGCAGTAGAGGATGGCTCAACTCCTTGGGTTCCTGTCCCTACATAGGAGACCCAAAAGAAACTCCTGGCTCCTGGCTTCAGTTCAGATCAGCTCTGGCTATTGTGGTCATTTAGGGAGTGAACCAGATGAAAGATTTCTCTCTGTCCTTTCTTCTCTCTGTCAATCCGTCTTTCAAATAAAAATAAGTCTTATCATTTAAAAAAAGAAGAAAGCAAATGGAATTTTGAAAATCTTACTAGTAAACGCGTAGGAATTTGGATCGGTTGGCCTGTCTTCTCTCTCATAAATTTTACTGCAGAATTCAAGACCCGATACTTCTTCCAGATTGTTTGAAGGACAGTCTGTGTTTGGGGAAACACGGAGCATCCTTTCCCATCACGGACATTTGCCATCATCTTCAACTTCATCGCCATCCACCTGCTCCGCTTTTGTTAACCTTTTTCTAACTGCTGGCTGCCCCAGCAGCTCTATTTGAGGTGCCGCTAAATGAGACATATTCGATGTGTCTCTAATTACGGAACTGTCTTGACGATGACAGTCACTGCCTATAATTACTCACTCTAGTTTCCTGAGAATCTTAGGGGGAAAAATGTCAAAGCTGACAGTCTACTCTAAAACTTCAAAGATAGTTACATCCTCGGGTGCAACAATGTTTCGGGGGGTGCTTTCACCATTCTGTATCCTTGCCTTCTCCTCCCTTTCCGCAGAGATCATCACCAGCCAGCCAAGGACAGGCTCCTCTCCTTCTCCTCCAGGTGGCGCCCTCTGCCTGGGGATCTTTTGGTCATGGAAAGATGAGCAGGTGCAGCTTCAGGTCACGTGGGTTTGTGCAGCTATCCCCAGACTCACAGCGCCTTCCGCCCAAGAAGAGCAATGAGAAGAAAATCTACTAACATATCATTTTCCTACTCAAAGGATTCCAAGTCTGCTAACCCTGTTATTGTTTCATCAGAAAAAAAAAAAAACCTAGCAAACCAATTAACAAATTATGTTGGCACGTATTAAAGAGGAAAGCAGATGCAAATTTGTAGTGTAATGAAACTTCTCTCTAGTTCTTTTTTATTATTGACAGAAATATGCCCTTTCCATCTAGAATTAAGTTTTGGAGTAAGAGAGGTTACTTTTAACAGATCGCTGAGACAGATCAGCACCTTGGCATACCAGGCTAAGCCTCTGCTTGTGGCACCAGCATCCCACATGGGCACGAGTTCTAGTCCTGGCTCTTCCACTTCTAATTCAATTCCCTGTTAATATGCCTGGGAAAACACAAGAAGATGGCCCAAGAGTTTGGGCCACATGGGAGACTCAGAAGCAGTTTCTGGCTCCTGGCTTTGGTCTGGCCCAGCTCCAGCTGCTGCAGCTGTTTGGGAAGTTACCTAGCAGATGGAAGATTTTCATTCTCTCTCTGATCCAGCTCTGTAATTCTGCCTTTTGAGCAAAAGAATAAATAAGCCTTTAAATAAAGATCACCGAGGCCATTGCATTATCACTTGTCTAACATCTCTAATGTAAGTGTGCGCTGTGACTCACGGAGGAAGTGAAATGTGACACTTTCGGATACCAGAAATGTTTTGTAATGACACACAAAAGCAAATTTAATCCTTCAACTTTTTTGCACGTCTTTTAAAATTTTCACACTCTTCCCAGTAGATCCCTCGCTTCTTCCGAAAGAAAAGACAGTTTGTGGTTTTCTCACCGAGCAAATGTCGTTGATGCACTCATGAGTGTTACTGCTCTATAAGACTGATTAGAATAATTATAGCACATCTTACTGGTCACTATTGCCATTTATTTGAGATCATTGGCCTTGGGCCAGCCCATCCAAATAGATCAACACAAAGTTGGCATCTGTCGCTGTGTCAGCTGCCTAAAAGTTAATCTGATGGTGGTCTCTGAGGCCTCACAGAGCACCAAGTTCTAAAAGGAGAGGCACCTTAGAGATAACTTAGTTCAGTACCTATCTCAACTGCATCAGAATCATCTAAGGAAGCTTTGAAAATTACAAATGTGCATGTGGGCCACATACTTGTTAGAGTTTTAATTCAGAGAACCTAGCATCTGAATTTCTTCAAGTTCCATCAAGGGTTCAGGGGAATGGCTGGCTACATTGTATCTAACCAGAAATGGCCAAGCAATTAGACAGATGATAGTCCTCCACCAAGGGAGAAGTTTACAGACCAAGGGTAAACAGGAGGCCATCCCAGGGAGGCAGCCAGGAAAAGAGAGAAAACAGCCAGGAGCTGAGAAGGAAGAAAAGTAGCACCATGTTGCAAGTGATGTCAGGTGAGGACCCAGCTGCTGGAGAAAGTAAGTCAAGGGCCCTTCTACAGCCTGTGCAGGAAACGGGCCACGGACCTCCGAGGTGGTACCCAGAGAGAAGCGGCCTGCCACTCCTCAGCCTGGCTGGGAAATGAAAGCCTTGCCAGCTTACACTCTGACAAGCTGAGTCGACCCTCCTGTAGGAATGATACCTCCTTCTCAGCCTGTCTTCTGAGAACGCACCGAACGGAACCACGACGAATACACACGGCTGACTAAGAGCTTTCCAGCACACCTAGATTGCCAAGCTGCAAATGCGAGAAGATATCGTAAGCCAATCAAGTCCCTCGGTAAGCTCCTGAAACTTCATAGAAATGGCATTGCATGGGAAACGTGCTGAGCTAAATGTGCTTTGCGTGCGTTGTGACCGGTGACCCGAAATTCTATTCGTTTGTTCACTTATTCATCCCCTGGCTTGTTCAGCAAAGCCTCGGGATGCAAGTTGCGGGAATGTTTCCTTATCAAGTCACATCACATCCTCACACTGTAAAAATAAGCCCAGGTGTCTTCTCCCACTGTGATGTAGCCACAAAGTAGAATGCACACGTCGGTGCATTCTCTCTCAATTTTCTTGGCCTCCAGTCTGCACATCTCCCTCTTAGAGTGTTTCTCCTTTGCATATTCTCTCTGCTCTTCTTCAATCAAGAGATGAATCGTTCCTAATGCAAGGGCATTCCTGTTTCATTTTCTTTTATATGCCTTTCTTTTTCTCAGAGACTTTTTCCCCCCATACAACAGAGATCTAACAAGCATACGAGCTCTTTTTCCAGTAAAAGCCCTTTTGCTAAGCTACAAGACCTGGGCTTGTCAGCCAGAATGGATTCTGGGGATCCTTTTCTGCTGATGAGCCACAGGCTGGGTCACAGGAGCTGCACACATCCTCCAGGTCACAAAACACAGCCTCACCATTTCCCATTTAGTCCCTCCTCTGCTGTATTTACTTTTTTCCTTGGCCTGCAGACTCCCACACCGCACAGACATCCAGGGAGCACTAGCCACAGGCTACCTCTGCTTACAATTCATTGCTCCCTGTCTGGCCTCAGGAGAGAGCAGGCATCCGAATTACCAGTCCTGACTCTGTACCTCTGCCCTCATGTTCTAGTTCCCTACGGTAGGATTCAGGTGACTTGAAGCGTCTATCTGGAGCAGTCCTTTGCATGAGCCAGGAAGATCAAAACGTAGTCCCACAATCCTTTCCACCAAAACCTTTATTGTTAAGTATTTCAAAATTTAGAAAATAAAAAAAAAAATATTTTTAAGATGTACTTATTTTATTTGAAAGAGTTATACAGAGAGAGATAGGGGAGACAGAAACAGATCTTCTATCCACTGGTTCACCCCTAAAGAGACTGTATTGGCCAAGGCTGGGTACCAGCGGCTTCCTCCAAGTGTCCCACAAGGGCACAGGAGCCCAAGTACCTGAGCCATCTTCTGCTGCTTTCCCAGGCCTTCAATAGGGGGTTGGATTGGAAGTGGGATCGCTGGGATATGAACCGGTGCCCACATAGGATGCCAGCACTGATTAGCAAAAGGATTAGCACGATGTGCCACCATGCTGACCCCAGAAAATCCAAATTTTTGTTCAGAAGATATAGTGTATGCACCATATGATATTTAACAATCTCTGCAAGACTGAAGCGACATCCTACCAACCAAACACTTAATCTCTCACCAACAATAGACGTCTGACAGCAGGCAAATAAACATCAACAACGCGAAGTGACAACTCTCCGAGTGGGAGAGAGTATTTGCAAACCACGTACCTGATAAAGGTCTAATATCCAGATTATACAAGGAGCTCACAAAATCCAACAGCAAAACACACAATCCAGTTATGCAACAGGCAAAGGACCTGAACAGACATCTTTTTAAAAATGTACGAAGAGCCAACAAACAGAAAAAAAAAATTGCTCTGGACTACTAGCCGTCAGAGAAATGAAACAAAAACCATCCGTGAGGTGTCATCTCCTTTCTTAGCTAACTGTGTATACATTCATGGGCCTATGAATGTTAGACGACAGGGTCCGTTCTCCCACGCCCGACCCCGGAAGGGCACGCCCTTGAAACCCCTGCTTCCAGGGACTGGCGTGTCCTCCATCATCTTGGGGGACTTCTTTCTGGGCCAGAGGACAAGCTCCGGCGCCCAAGCCTCGAGCTGTTATTTCATCTCCAAGGCCGACATCTAGAGACCGAAAGGGGAACTGCTGCCAGCATCGGAAACCAGCAGCTTGAGCGGATCTGGCCAGCATTTCTGCTTCCCAGCTCTACAGCTGCCTGCAAATACCCAAGGATTAGGGCCCGGAGCCAGAAACGCATCCCTCTCCACAACAAACACTCATCAATCCCTCCCTCCATGGAGGGATTTTCCTAACTTGGCCAGCTGTCTCCAGATGGTGTGGCCTCAGGCTTAGAGAAGGCTCCGCTGCTCCCACCCATCTCGGGTCAGTCCAGAAATGCGGCTGATGGATTGCCATTCTCAGAGTCCCTAGCTATTATAGATGGTTTTCTGTGAAATAGATGTTCACTTACTTTGGTCCAGAATCCAGTAGCATTACTGGTTTGATTCTAGAAGTCCCGGATTCTGCTAACTGGTACAAACTATTAGAAGTCAGTTTGCTAAGTCTTTCAAGAACTTCCAAATCTGTGTCCATTTTTGCTTCATCGCTCCAAACCCTTTGAACCTAAAGAAACAACAGGACACTGGTCAAGGCTGATATACCAACATCATCATGGAAAATTTTATAAAGCCAAGATGGGGGATAATCTTGGAAGTCCGTTAGTGATTAGTTATATTAATTATAGCACACACACAGTATTGAATTCTATATAGCAGCTACAGTTACACACCTGGCCCTGGGCGTTGTTTCTTCTTGACATTTTATTGCTTTTCACAGCATCTCTTCTCATCTTCCTGTTACCTAGCCGTCCTCTACCTATTACTCTAGTCTTTTGCCTCCTTCTCACGTTGATGTTTTTCAGATGTCCTTTCCTGCTGGGGTCCGTGCAGTGGGTGTGGATGAGGCCAAGGTGTGAAGATAACAGCTCCCCTGTTTGGCAGGGCCCAGAGGAGCTTCCAGCTGTTTGGCAGGGCCTGGCGGATATCTCTCCAACCACCTTGACGCAGTCTCACCCTCTTTGCATGGACACTCAACCACCCCACTAAGAACTCTGTAATCCATGGAGACGATGTTGTTTGCCCTTGTGAGATGTTTTTTGCAACTAATGTGAGCTTGGGACTCAATGTTGCTGATCATGTGTGTTGGTCCTGGAATCCTGGCTGTCTGTCGCTCCATGGCTGTTACTGAAGAATGAACAATGACTTACTTGGAAGAATATGAATACAGTATTTTGTGGGATTATCTTTAGGGACACCTGCTTAGCCATGAAGTACAAACAGAATTACCAAATGTCCGTGCATGCCCCCTTCGCCATGAAGTAAAAGTAGGACAATTAATTGGGGCAGTGAGTCAATCAATAGAAAGAAGATCTTTCCCTCTGTTTCTCCTCTTTGTAAATCTGCCCATCCAAGGAAAATAAATAACTCTTTAAAAAAGAAAAGTTAGGCCTGAGTTATTGGAACAATACCACGCCCATTTCCTGAGACAATAAAATTGCAAGAAATAGGAAAGTAAGAATTTAAGGTTGGCTTTAATCAAAATAACAGTCATGATAGCAATTATTGTTTTTGCTGTGTGATATATAGAACATGGATTCATTCAACAAATATTTACTGCACACCTTTTCTATACTAATCGCTATTTTAGGAACCGGGGGCATCTTAGAGAACAGTCACAAAAATCCCTGCCAGCTCTTGAGGTGGGCATATTCCAGGGCAGCACAGTCAGGCCACTGGGCAAGTTCAAAGTGAGTTCAGGTTCAGGTTCAAGTGCAGGCACCTCTTTCTGGAGATATAGGCTTGTCCAGTGGATGAGGACATTACTGGCTACATTCCTGCTTTCGGTTCTACAGGTGGGAAAGCTCCGACTTACAAAACCAGCACGTCTCGGGCATAAGGAACAAGCGTTGCAGCCTAGATTCTAACCAGGTTTTGTGCTTTTATTACATATTTTTTTGAATAAGAACGTATTCATGAATATTTACCAGCATAAGTGAATATAACATTTTTAAAGAAGTGTGAAATTAGCCTGTCTAATAAAACTTTCTTGAGAAATGCAAGATTGGAAGTTTTAAGTAGAGTAATATAAAAATAATTGATCTTGCTGCTGCAGTGGAAGAGTTAACTGAATTGCCTCTTCACCTTAATATTGATTTAATTTCACCGGAATATTGAATTTTCATATATTACACCACATAACTCAGTTTTAAGTATAGTTTTATTACATTTCCTTATTGCTTTCCTTTTCTTTTGCAGTATAACTTTGGAAATTTATATCATTAAAACAGATGAAATAAATTTGACTCAAGGCAAATTTTAAAATATTACTCAAAAAATACTGTATAAGAATTCTAATGCATGTCACTAATTTCCCAGGAATATCAAGCATTAGAAATTGTTCTACTGGGACAAAAAATCATTTACCCAACAAAATTAACACAGGTCAAAAATTTTTTCCTGGAGCTGTGTATAGCAAAGGTTTAAATTAATGCGATTGGACATATAAGAAACATTATATTTCAGGATGATGTAATTTTAAAAAGAAGATGTAGATATGAATATGGAATTAGTCACACATATGTAATTATTTGGCCATTCTATAATTGCACTAATTACTATATATCAAAGCTCGTCATTTGAAGTGCTCAGTCATCTAATTTGGACTTCATTGTCTAGCTTCTCCATTAGATGTTTCATGAGAATAGCTAAGATGACACCACACCTCCTAGAGCCTCAACAGATGCTACGAGAACGAAGGAAGGAATTAATTTTTAAATGGTGTTCATGCCCAGTCAGGTGCCTGTAAACACAGGCATAAATATCACAATGTTAAGATTTAAGTGCTTTCACAGTTGTAAATATTCTAGTTTATAAGACTTCACATAATCTTTGTTGAGAAGGTTGGGAGGGTTTATAGTATTAGGTAGATAATACGTACCACAGAGGATATTAATAATATCCCACACCACAGAGGATATTAATGTGAAATTAATGTGGCTTATTGGGAAAGTGCTTCCAGATGAATGGTTCAAACCCAGCACAGAAGGGTGAATAAAATAAGAAATGAGACAAGAAACATGAGCTTGGATTTTAGAAGAAATAACTAGCTATTTGAGTTACAGAGTGTAAAAATCTGGACTAATGGGTCCGGCATGGTAGCCTAATGGCTAAAGTCCCTGCCTTGCACACACTGGTATCCCATTTGGGCACCAGTTCTAATCCTGGCTACTCCACTTCCCATCCAGCTCCCTACTTGCAGCCTGGGAATACAGTCGAGGATGGCCCAAAGCCTTGGGATCCTCCACCCACATGGGGGACCCAGAAGAGGCTCCTGGCTCCTGGCTTCAGATCAGCTCAGCTCCGCACCAGGTCTTCTGGGGCCTTTTCTAAGAAATCTTTGAATATGTTCTCACCATTTGAACCAACAATTCCAGGTCTTCTCTACCCTGCGCAAGGTGCAGTCATGGCCTTTTCCTTACAAGCTCTTTCCTGGTCTCACAGATTCAAGTCTTTATTCTGCCTCTCCCTTCAACTTCTCTTCCTTGGCTTGGTTTTTGAACCTCTATTCCTTATTCCTAAGCCACAGCCTGGAAGTTCGCTCCTCTGGGGAACTATCCGGATGTGTCTTCCTGTATCAACACTTCTTCAGTAACTGTTTAGTATGTCTATGCTCGGCTTTGCTGTATGGTGGAAATGGGGCTGTGGAAAAGACAGCTTCCTCCCCGCACAGCACCTAGGCAGGGACATTAACATTTTCTTTAAACAATAATTGAGTGATAGTTTTTGCTGAATTCTCCCAAGATGTGCTGTTGGGAGAACGTGCAACCGTTCTCGGGAGTGTGGCAAGGACTAATTTTCCTTAGGACGGACGGGACACCCCTTTGCAACTTTCAGAATTCCCTTAGGGTATTCAGGCAGTTCCTTTTGAATTGTAACTTTAAATATACTGAGCTGAATGTTCAGTAAGTTATAGGAGGCCCCGATTCTCAAAAAAAATCCTTTTAACTATTGCAAATAAGTGTGTGGCCCATAAGCTATAGACAGGTTGACACCCACGATTTAAAGGTACGTGTTTCAGGCAGTAGCACGGCCTCTAAGCCAATACCCAATTGCTTTTATCTCTCTTTGGCAGGCAAGCAAGTTGAAGTTCAAAATGAACGGCCATCACTCTTCCAAGGTCTCACTACTTGGAAACAATTGAGTCGTTTAAACCCTCTAAATCCTAGGGGAGTTAGGGCTCCAGGCCTTCTTTTCATCAAACGTGTGTGGCTCTTGTATCTTTACTTTCAGAAACTTTTAGTATCAGGTTTCAGGTACGTGAAAGCCCGAGGTGTTACTCACTTCTTTGGTCCTGGACGCCACAAATCCACCCCCCATAACCGGCTTCGTTGAGGTTACGGTTCCTGAGCGTCTCGGCGCGGGGAAATGAAGAGAACCCACTTTGTTTCCAGCACTCAAGCGGCTGGTTCACCTTCTTTTCCCTCATAGCTGCGTTTTCCCGCGGAAAACGCGGCGACCGGAAACACCTGTGCCTCTCAGCAAACACCCAGGGACCAACGAGAAGACCTCCGGCGCCCACCCTGGCCGACTAGAGCGGCAGCGACGCTCCGCGCACGCGCACGCGCGCGCGCGCGCGCGCACGTCACGCCGACGCTCGCCTCGCCCCGCCCCACGCCGGGCAAGTCTAGTTTCCGGCGACTGGAAGAGCGGACTTTACCTGAAGGAGGGAGAGGTGGCCTCAGGTGACCGGCGGGGCGGCTGGCCAGTGCTTCACTGTCCTCGCTGCTGCTGCTGCCCGCCAGCATGCCTCCCTTGGAAAGCATGGTGCTTTGTCGCGAGTCCCAGGTGGCCACTCTGCAGTCCCTATTTGGAGAGGTAGGCTGGGCAGTCTTTTTTTTTTCTTCCTAAGAGATGCTGGGGGTTGAGTGTTTCCGTGGCGTTGAGGCCGACTCCATTAAAAAATAATAAGAAGAATTTCGTGGTGGGTGGGGTGGGAGAGGGGTTGAGAAACAGTTGAACCTGTATTTATTTGGTTGAGCGAGGAGATAACGTTATCCACCGTGCGCGGGGCCGCTGGGCCAAGTCCTTGTCCTGCACGCGCCAAGTTTGTTGAGATGCTACGAACCTCCAAGTCGCTTGTTGTCGCTGCCCAGCCGCCCAGGATGGTGTGCACCAAGTCTGTTTCGCGCACTTTCGTGGGTTTTTATCTCCCCCAGCAGCTCTTCTGGGCTGGTGAAGACCCAGGGGAGTCCCAGTCCACGTTTCTTCTTTCCCTTGCTGCCCCAGGGGAGGCCGTCCTGTTGTTCCGGGGGGAACAGTAGAGCAGGCAGGACCTGGGTCTGTCGTCTTGTTAGGATTCATACAGTGCAGGTGCTCCTGGCTGTTGTGTTTTCCAGCCTTGGAGTCAGTGATTACATTTGGATCTTGTAGGAGGCTGGCTACAGGAGGCTCTGCTGCCGTTGGTTCAAATCCCAGCTGCTTCCTGTCCAGCCCCTTGCCGCTGCACCTGGGAAAACAGCAGAGGGCCGGCCGAGGGCTTGGGCTCTGCACCCGCGAGGGAGACCTGGACGAGGCTCCTGGCTCCTGGCTCCGGTCTCCGGGCTTGCCCGCTCCCTCTTTTGCTGCCATCTGGGGCGTGAACTAGCAGATGGAAGATCTCTGCTTCTCTCTCGCTCTGTGACTTTTTAAATACATAAGTCTTAATAAAACAAGCAGTATACACATTCCTTGATCAGCTAGGGTTTTTTTTTCCCCCTTAAGATTTATTTATATTTATTTGAAAGACAGAGATACAGAAAGAGACCTTTAATCCCCCCACTCACTCCCTGATGACACCGGGGGTGTCTCCCAGATGGAGGTATTCCGGCCACCTCCCACTGCTTTCCCATTTGTTGGGAGCTGGGTGCGAAGTGGAGAAGTGTGAACTGCACATCAGATGGGACGGTGGGACCCATCTGCTTTGGTTAGATATTTTCCTCCAGTTAGAAACGAAGGGCCCAGGGCCGTGGTAGTGGCAGCGCATCAGGGCAGTAAGAGGTTGAGTGAGTGAATCGTCAGGTTGTAGGGCTTGCAGTTAGTGTTAACTATCGCCACCGTTTTCCTGGTGGACCCTAAGTTCCCTCACTGGAGTTGTTGCAGCCAGCTCCCTTCTACCACAAGTCCCGCTCCTGGGAAGAAACGTTGGCACCCAGGCGTGAAGCAGGGCCGCCTGAGCGGTGGGCTCAGAAAGGGTGTTCTTCCCAGGGCGGCTCAGATGGAGCCGTGTTGACACCACTGGTCTGCAAGATGCTGGGCAGGTGGGAGACAGGAAGAACTGTAGCAGAGGGCTGCGAGGGGCCCTGTGGTGTTTGTACCATGGATGTATTCATTCAACATTTACATAGTTACTGCACGCCCGTTGCCGTTGGTTCTAGATCCTGCTCTGTTGCAGTTTGTGGTAGAGAGGTGAAATAACAGTGCAAGAACTGAACTGATCACCCCAGGTGACCGCTGGAGAGATGTTATAGGGTGGGGCATAATGCTTTAAGACAGACAAGGGTGGCAGCATTCCAGGAAAGGAAGGGTTCGGTGTAAGTTGGCAGTTGCCCCGCGCTCTTCACTTCTATTTCAGGGTGGGATATGTGCAGCGTTTTGGATAACAAAGATGTCGAATATGGTGCATTTAATACTTGGCAAAAAAATTGTTGAGCCAGTTCATTTGTGATTATTAGATGCACAGTTTTTCTTTAAAAAAAGGATTAGGGTAAAAATGGAGTATGGAAAAAAATTATCCTTAGAAAGCTCTTTAAATCTATTATGAAGTTGAAAACACACTTTCCTATAAGACTGAAAATGCAGGAATTTGCGTGCGTAGCCCTATGCGATAACAGTGTAAATACGTGTGTTAGATCTCAGATACGGTTTTTAGAGAAATCTTAATTTCATAACGGGAGGTTATTTGCCAAGCACTGCGTTTAGGTCGGAATGTAGCAGTGAACCCGCCGTGTGCTCCCTGGACACGCTATGTGGCTTGAGCGTTTCGTTTGGCATATGAAGCTTGGTCACAAGTTGGTGAATATTTTATCAATTTCATAACCTTTATCTTTTCTCCCCCAGAGACATCATTTCAGCTTTCCATCCATTTTTATTTATGGGCATACTGCCAGTGGGAAGACCTATGTGACACAAACTTTGTTGAAAACTTTAGAGGTAAGAATGACCCCAAGCTGGATGCTAATTGAGTTTTTCTCCTAGGCCGCTACAAGCGCGGAGTAACTTTTGCTTGAATCCCTTCAGTGACTTTAGATCTTGAAAGGTGTAATTAGAATGTTTGAATCTTGATGCTAGAAATTCGTTTTTTAAGCTGGGCCAAATTTCCCTTTTCCTTGTTCAGGTTGCTATGGTGCTTGTGTCTAAATGACGTCGCCACTGACAGAGCTGTCCAGAATTGGTTTTTCGATTCTGTCTTCGTCCCTGTGGATACAGTAAATCAAGCCAGGAAGTGTGTGCTGTTGATTGTACCCTTCAACGCACTGACTGTGTCCGCTCCTGTTTCAGTTTTATTGCCATTGTTTCTCCCGTGTAGTGGCACACGTGTCCCAATCCTGATCTTGTCTTCACCCCGCAGCCAGCTCCTTGCAGCTCCTCACGTTCTCAGCACAGTGTCCAAGTGATTGGCCCGATACACAAGCCCCTCCGTGAACCACATCCGGGTTCTCTTTCGGCATACGATGGTCAAGAGTTTGGAAGGACAGTGTGGCGGAGCTGTACTGCTCCTTGTCGTTCAGCACCTCGAGCTTCCCCCGTGTGCACCGTAGGGATCGTGGTGACAACATGTAGGGCTGTGCGTAAGGAAGACAGAGTTCAGCCACTGCCGCATCTGAAGCCACAGCTGGGCCGAGTCTCTGCAAAGGGCCCTGTAGTAAATGTTGAGGACATGTGGCTTAGCACTGGCATGTGTAGACAGCAGGGTCCACCTCAGTGGGTGTGTATGCAGAAGTGGGTAGCCAGCACACAGCATTCCCTCTCTTGTGAGTGCCATCTCCAGCCTTCCTGTCATCCTGAGGTGGCATTTAGTGCAGCACCATTGTCCTTCAGCCGCCCGTGGCCGCTTCCCATCGTTTCCCAGACGACAGCCAGAAAACATCAGATCCCTGGGGACAGCCGTCTGTAGTGGCCTGGCTCCTGGAGAGGACAGGTTGGAGGCCAGTGTATTGGGTGGCGGTGGGTTGTGTATAGAAGTATGCCTGGAGAATGGCCAGCAGGGCCGTGAGTACAGGTGGATGCCGGCGTTGTTGGTCCTGACTTGTCGGCTTTGGTTTTCAGCTCCCGCATGTCTTCGTGAATTGTGTTGAATGCTTCACCCTGAGGCTCCTTCTGGAGCACATCTTAAGCAGGTTGCGTGTCCTCGGCTCTCCAGAGGACGGCTCTTGCGCCGAAGTAACCTGTGACACGTTCAATGACTTCGTTCGCTTGTTTAAACAAATCACCAAAGCAGAAAGCCTCAAGGATCAGACTGTGTACATTGTAAGTAACCTGATGCTGTCACCTTTTCGGAAAACGTTCTTCACTGGGTCAGTGTCTACCATCCTGACCTCCAGGATGTACGCTCCCTGCAAGGTGCTTCTGGGAGTGCAGGGATGTGTGCGATGGATTCCTGATGCAAATGGAGCTTTGTTTAATACGAGATTGTAACACGTGGTCACGTGTGACCTTAGTATGTGATAAGTGATGGCTGAGACACCTGCTGTGCAGGCGCATCTAGTACGGCTTTATGAGGCGACAGCCTTCGAGTCAGACCCAAGCGACTGAGGGCGTTGGGGAAAGAAACTGATCATTATTCCATAGGGAAGAAACTATGTAAGCAAAGCAATGCAGGCAGGATCAGTGGGTTGTGAAACACGGAGGGAGGAAGTTGGGGCCAGATGATGGAGGAACCGGGGAAATACTGCTTTTATTGGATGCATATAGCATCCAAAGTTTGGGAATAAAGTATTTGATTTCCAAAATAGTACAAATATGCATCACGAAACTCACTCTGAAATCGTGGTCGTGGGGTAGATTTGAGGGAGGGGAAAGACTGTTTTGCAAAAGCCGAGGGAAATCTGAAAGAAGTCAGTCAGGGGTGGTGACACACCGGGGCCGTGGGGAGGAGTCGTCCCCGCACAGCGAGACTTGTGGCCTTAGACACGCTGCCCAGCTGGAGCTGGAATCGGGCAAAGCAGGATTTTCAGGCTATTTTATCTATTTACACGGGTAAGGAAGTTGACCTTGTCCCAGAGTTCAGCAGCCATGCAGAGAGAAAGCAAATGGGGAAAAAAGCAAATGTCCAACTTGTCAGTTGCGTGTGGAGTAGTTTTATGGGCGAAGATGAGTTATTTGATTTAGGTGGGCTAAGTTTAAACACGTGAAAATGATTAGTACACAGTTTAAAACACCAAGTAGATGTTTGAGCTGGCACAGTAGCCTAGTGTCTAAAGTCCTCACCTTGCATGCGCCAGGATCCCATATGGGCGCTGGTTGATGTCCCGGCAGCCCCGCTTCCCATCCAGCTTCCTGCTTGTGGCCTGGAAAGGCAGTTGAGGATGGCCCAAGGCCTTGGGACCCTGCACCCATGTGGGAGGCCTGGGGGAGGCTCCTGGCTTCGGATTGGCTCAGTTCCGGCCGTTGTGGTCACTTGGGGAGTGAATCAGCTGACAGAAGATCTTCGTCTCTGTTCCTCTCTATATATCTGACTTTCCAATTAAAAAAAAATGAAAATTTTTAAAAAATTAATGCTTTCCTGTGTACATACATACTCTCAATAAAATTTCTGAATTAGGCATAGTAAGAGATTAATAATAATGAAATAGAATAATTATCACAGTATATTATAATGCATATGTATGAGTATGGTCATTCTCTTTTATAGTATGTTACTATAATTTTTTAAAAGATTTATTTATTTTTATTAGGCATATTTATGGAGAGAAGGAGAGACAGAAAGGTCTTCCATCTGATGGTTCGCTCCCCAAATGGCTACAACACTGAGAGCTGCGCATATCCAGAGCTAGGAGCCAGGGGTCCAGGTCTCCCATGCGGCTGTGGGGGGCTCAAGGACTTGGGCCATCCTTCGCTGCTTTCCCAGAGATTAAGCAGGGAGCTAGATCAGAAGTGGAGCAGCCAGGACACGAACTGATGCCCCTATGGGATGCTGGTGCTGGAGGGTGGAGAATTAGCCCGTTGAGCCATGGCACCGGTCCCACTGTATTTTTCATCTTTGTACCCAGCGGAAGTACTTTACGGCTTCTCTGGAGCTTATCACAGATGCCAGCTTTCTCAAGTAAAATTACTAAGGCGGTGTGATCCCGCTGAAGTCGGTCCGATAACCAGGATAGCAGAGTGAGGGATGGGCAGGCAGCTTCCGGCAGCGTGGGTGCCCTGGAAAGGGGCGCTGCCGGGGCGCAGCGGGACAGATCTTGTCACGCTTTTCAGAGCCACGCACAGGTCCAAGCTTGCCTGTTCCTGAAATTCGCCGCTTACTGTTCTCAGACCGTTGTTGGCCGTGTTTAATTGAAACATGGTAATTGAAACTGCAGGTCATGGATGACTGCTGTGACGTATTTTGTGTCAGTGAATCCTTCATAAAGAAATATTATTGAGCACTTTCTGTGTGCCAGAAGCACTGTTCCAGTTTCTGAAGAGAGAATAAGGACACTCTTGGTTCACCTGCAGCTTATAGTGTAATTAAAGCAGGCAGAGCATAAGCAGGGATTGGGTTGGAAAAGTGGCAGTGAAAAAATGGAACCTTCATAGGGCGACAGAATGGTTCCAGAACAAATAGCCGATCCTAGAGTTTCATGAGTGTCTTAAGGAGGAAGGACAGTCAGTATTTCTAGAAGTGGCCATGAGCAGTAAGGAGGGTTCATTTGGTTTTTTGCCCCTGTGGATCAAAATAGGTGTTCAGCACATAGATGCTCGTTGACAAAAACAGTTGAAAATTGTGTAGATTTTCAGTGTAAAACATTTTCTTAGACTAGCTCTGCAGTATATTCATCTGTTCAGTATGAATTGGTAAACCTCAATGCTTAGGAAATAATACAGAGAGGTAGCCAAGAATGTTTTCTAGTCAGTAAATTAGTTTCCAAATTGAGAAGCTATTAGAATGCCCAGCATAGATTATTAAGAAAAATGTTTGGATCTGAATTAGGATTTTGACTTTGAATACTCATTATCTGATAATCGCTTTTGAGGAAGGCACTATCATTAGAATACCGTAAAATCATTAATTATAGTGGGTTGACTTATTAAATCAGAAGAATAAAATGAATTTACTGCTTCATCTTTGAAATGTGCATTGAAATGAGCAAAAAATGGACCAGTTTATTTGAATTAATGGATAAAAATTATTTCAAGCGAGATTGATAGTACATTTTTATAATGGGAGCGCATAGTAGAGAAACTAGATTTTTTCTTAGCAGTAAATAAAATAATCTTAGCTCTATTTTGGCTAAATTAGGATTGAAATACTTACTGTATTGTATGTTTTGTGAGTATTCTGTGCCAGGGAGCCCCTCACCCAGTTACAGTAATGTCAGCAATTGGCTAAACTTGTGCCACCTGTTTTTGAACAATAAGGACGTTTTACAAAGCATAATCCTAATAGGGTTATCCTAGCAGTGAACAAAAACTCGAATCTTTCTCTTTTTCAGTATTTATTTGTTTTTCATCGGAAAGTGAGATTTAAAGCGAGAAGGAGACAGATCCTCCATCTGCTGGTTCACCCCCCACGTGGCCGCAACAGCTGGAGCTGAGCCATTCCAAAGCCAGGAGCCTTGAGCCTTGGGCCTCTTCCTGGTCTCCCACGTGGCTGCAGGGTCCCAAGGCTTTGAGGCGTCCTTCACTGCCTTCCCCAGGCCACAGACAGGGAGCTGGAAGGAAGTGGAGCAGGCAGAATATGAACCGGTGCCCATATAAGGTCCTGATGCATGCAAGGACAGGACTTTAGTCAGTAGGCTACTGCACCAGGCCCAAATCTAATCTTTCTTACCATTATTAGTTATTTAAGTATTAAGAAGTTGTCATCAGGACACCTTACCCATCGTTTCAGTAGCACTTCAAATGTAGCTAGTTAAGACAGCACAGTTAAAATGTTCTATATTAGTCTGTTTATTTGACCTATTTGAAAGGTCTTTCTACAAAATGTAAATGACATTTCTAAAAGTTGTGGGCTTTTTTTTGTCAGATGAGAAATTCAAGTTTTGAATTTTTCCAGTATATTATGTAAATGTTTTATAAAGGGATCTGTAACTTGACTCTTTTTTTTTTCTCTTCCTTCTTTTAAGGTTCTAGATAAAGCAGAGTATCTAAGAGATATGGAAGCAAATGTTTTGCCTGGGTTTCTCAGGTTGCAAGAACTGGTAAGTAATGTGTTGCGTTGGTTCCCCCCATAAGCTAGGCAAGAGGTTATGTTGTCAAAGTCTTTTTTTTTTTCCATTTTTACTAAGACGTTCACTGGAATAAATGCGGGGACACGCGAGTTTGAATTCTCTGCGAGGATTTTTAAATTTACTGTTGAGTAGCCTCAAAGTGCTTGGTGTGGCTCTTTGGGATTATCTGGAGTTGTTTGTTTGTTTGTTTCCTGAAGGTACTTCAGAACATCAGTGGAAAAAAAGGAAATTAAAAGTATGTTTTGATGCAAAAGTTTTTCAATCCCTGTACAGGTTTTTTTTTTTTTTCGAATTTGCATTTTCCACAAGCTTTTGAAGACCCCTCGTACTTAGCTTTGTATTTCAATTTGCAGTTGGCACCAGATGTTAAGATCAGTGTGAGTGTCGTGACCCAGTGAGGAGGGGAGGGGGCAGGCTCACTGCGCATGTGCGGCCGGGGAAGCCGAATAGTCATATGGACTTTGTAGCAGTTTGAGTAAAGACAGTTGCTAAGAGAATTCACTCTTAAGCAATTCTGATTAGCATAGGGATGCTCAAAGAAGATCCCTGGGTGTTTCCTGTTAGGGACATATTCACATAAGAAGTAGAGATTGAGCTTGCACAAAAAAAGACTGCTTTAAAAAAAAAAGCAAAATGTTTTATACTTAAATTATTTGGTTGTCGATTCCCATTATATTTGTAAGGTTTACTTTTTGTTTTCTGATTTTGTGTCCTGAGCATATAAACAGCCTGTGCTTGGCTAGTTCTAACCGTGTATGCATTAAAGTGCTGAGTAACAGTAGAATGCGCGGTCAGTGCTTGCGGAGAAGGGCTTGGGGCGTGCTGCTTTCCCCAGGCGCAGTACGTTACTCACGTTGGAGGAACTGCTTGTCCAGGGGCCGTCCAGGCGCTGTGCAAAATGACTCAGCGACAGTTCTGCCCCTGGAGGGTGCAGGGCACAGTTCAGGGACAGTTAAGTATGGCTATTGGTGGTCTTTGCTGGGAGTTCCTCAAATGATCCTTTTTACTTAATGTTGATGTAAGAAAGACTAATAGCTTTTTTTTTTTTGTATTTTTAATGTTTATTGAGTATGAGTTTTACTTAGTGATTGATAGATGAAGAATGTTAAGGAAAATGTGTTTCTGGCATGTACTGTTAAGGAGAGTATGTAGCATGGAATATCTGTTTTCCTTCAACTAACATTGATTTTTCTCTGGGTTGCTACAGCTTTTTATTCTTATTATTGTTATTGGAAAGTCAGATATACAGAGAGGAAGATCTTCCAGCTGTTGATTCACTCCCCAAGTGGCCGCAACGGCCAGAGCTATGCCAATCCAGAGCCAGGAGCCTCCTCCAGGTCTCCCACGCAGGTGCTGGGGCCCAAGGCGTTGGGTCGTCCTCCACTGCATTCCCAGGCCACAAGCAGGGAGCTGGATGGGAAGCGGGGCTGCTGGGATTAGAACTTAACTTACAAAGTAAGCCCTCTGTGATTGTCTTAGCATCCATGGGTAAGTGAGACGCTGACAAACCCGCAGATTTTATGGAAAGTTTAGGTAACTACCTGTGAGTGTTTGCAAGTGAATGACTAGGTTTTCTAAATTAATGCACCAGCGATGTATGTTAAGATGTTGCTGGAATTTTCGAGAAGAAAAATCCCAGTGGAGTTACGACTCTGTACTGCCATTCCTCTCTGTTTTACAGACCGATAGAAACGTTACTGTCATCCTTCTCAGTGAGATTGTTTGGGAAAAGTTTCGTCCAAACACAGGATGCTTTGAGCCGTTTGTCTTGTACTTTCCAGACTACAGCATAGGTAAATTTTGAAACACTGTGTGGGCAAGTGATATTCCGTAGAATTATCATTGTTTGAGTGATGAAGCTTCTATTAAAATTGGGATGCGCCCTAAACCGGTGGGGTTCACACACAGTCTTGTTGATGTTGAAATCCCATTTTAAAGCTTTGAGAAGTTGTTCAAGTACTGAAGTTTTTTGAATGAGAAACTTTCACATCTTTGTGCTAAGAGCCAGATTTTCATCACCTTTTTTTAGGCACTACTTTATACAGCAGTTGTGACATGCGTACAATTAAATGAAACTGCAGTGACAAAACATGTTAGAGTTCTATTGGGATATTCATTGGTAACATCATTATGTTAAAATGCCGCTTGTATCTATTGATTTTGTGAGTCTCATTTTTCATTTCTGTAACTCGTGTAGTACCAGCCGTTAACCCTAATGTGTCCCTTTGACTTGAGGCTGAATTTAAACTTGAATTTCATAGATCCCAATTACCTTTAGATGATCACCTTAGCTCTTTGTGTCGCTCAGTATCTTTGTGAATGACTGCTGGGCTGTCACTATATGAATGTGATCCATCTCCTTGAAAGCCTATGACTGTGAAACTTAAAGTAATTAGCAGGTTATGAAAAAAACAGCATTCTATGACCTTGGCCTCGTTACTGCTATGTCTCTGAATTAATCAGTTATAAATATTCATCATTAAGATCAACACATTTTTGTCTGTTTTCACAAGCACTACAATCAAAAAACACTTCCTGCCATGGCTAATTAACTGACTTATTTATTTTTTAAGTTACCCAAAATAGGAAAAGGGATACCTTATTTTCAGTAGCTCCTCATCCATTAAAAAAAAAAAAGAAACCACACAATCAAAGGGTTTAATTTTTTGTTTTTAAACTGAAGGTATCAGACCTCTCTCCCACGTTGGGTGTAGGGTCTCAAGGACTTGAGCCATCCTCTGTTGCTCTCCCCGGCCATAAGCAGGGAGCTGGATGCAAAGCAGAGCAGCCAGGACGCGAACCAGTGCCCATGTGGGATGCCAGGGCTTGCAAGGGGAGGATATAGCCATTGACCCATTGTGAGAGGCTTGTCTTAGTAGGCCCGGTGGGTTCAATCATTGGCTATTGGGAATGATTTCAATCTCCAGCCCTTCTTTTTGGTGGGTTTTGGGAGGGTGGCACCTCTGGTCTGAGAACAGTGCCTTCCTGAAGCTCCCGAGAGGCCCAGCTAGAGTCAGCTCATTATATAAACACATTATGCTGCAGAGATACTCCTTAGGAATTACAAAAGATGTTCCTCTCACCCTCTGACACTTGGGAAATTGCACAGACTTTGGAAGCTCTGTCTCAGGACCAGAGCTGAGACCAGATGTCTCTCTACATCACAGAGTAAAACTTGGCTGTGCTACTCTTGGAACGGTTTTATCTGTTTTGGTTAAAAAAAAAATCCTTTTTCTAAAATGCTAGAGAATCAGACAGTGACGCTTTGGGAATCATTCTAAGTCTGTTTTGTCTTGTGAACAGGAAACCTTCAGAAGATTCTGTCTCATGACCATCCCCCCGAGTACTCAGCCGATTTCTATGCCGCCTACATCAACATCCTCCTCGGGGTTTTCTACACTGTTTGTCGAGATCTCAATGAGCTCCGACATCTGGTGAGTGGTTTAAACACGTGCGTGTCTCTTCCTGTCTCCTCCCTCCCCAGGATGGGCACAGGGCCGCTCCGAGAATGGCCATCTCTGTGGCCGTCAGTTTTGACCCAATCTGAAAGACACACCCAATCAGGTGTGTCTTTTCAACTTTCCTTGTAAGTGTGACTTCCTTCTTTTCTCTAACTACAGGAAAAAACTGTGGAATTCCACTGGAACCACTTCCCGTGTTATTTGTTTGTTCATTTATTTATTTACTTTTTTATTAGTGGCAGACTTGTTCCGGGATTTCTAAATGTAATATGTGTAGCCTAGATTTTTTTTTATTTGTTTGAAAGATTTCCAGGGAGAAGGAGAGACAAAAAGGTCTTCCATCCACTGGTTCACTTCCCAGATGGCCACAACAGCTGGCAGAAGCCAAGAGCCAGGAGCTTCCTCTGGGTCTCCCACCTGGGTGCAGGGGCCCAAGGCTTTGGGCTGTCCCCTTTCCCAGGCTACAAGCAGGGAGCTGGATGGGAAGTGGAGCAGCCGGGACACAAACTGGCTTTCATGTGATGCCAGTGCTTAAAGGACTGGGTCCTTGCAGGCAGAGGATTAACCCATGGAACCATCGTGCCAGCCCCTGGGTCATAGAATTTAAATGGATCTGAATGTAGTTAGAAGCTTTGATTGTAGGTTTTTCTTCAGCCACTGACCTTGAGATAATAATGTTTGTATAAAAGATTAAAATTTTTTTAAAATTAGAGTGGATATTCATATTGTACAAACAGTCTGGGAAATGATCCTGTTTAATTTTTCTTTGAGTCCTTCCCTCGGATTGTGAGGATGTTGAGGGAAGGGGGAAAGAATGTGTGGCTTCCTGAAGCCTCGCTGTAATACTTTAGATCTTGTCTCTGCATGACTGAGGGTGGTAACATGGCCAAGTGGCTTTCAGAGTAACAGGTGCCGCATATCTCGGCATGTTATCCTTTGTCCTGAAAGGCATCACATAAACAGATGCTGAGCAGGACCCAGCTGTGGGGGACCACTGGCTGCGCTGCTCCTTGGCGCTTGGCTCCCGTGGGACTCGGACCTACAGTCGGAGTACAGACACAGGAAATGTTAAGGTGCAAGGGGGAAAGTCACGTAAGGAGTATATTTCCAATAAAACACACACACACACACACACAGTGAAGGGAGAAAAGTAATACGAAGGACATTTTTGAAAATGCTTTTGTTTTCACCGGGGCATGCTTCTATGTGGGGATGAGGCTTCGGCTGTTTTTTTTTGGAAGTACAGTATAACTCTTCTCCACTGTAGATAATAGTAGTAAATCTAAAAAAGGATCTCAAGCATTTGAGTTAGAGCAGTGTTCTGATATTTCTCCCTTGGTAAAATACTTTGATTTAAAATTTTATTTGTTTGAAACTTTGTGGGTGGCGCAGTTTTCCAAAGTTTGGGGGATCACCCATCGGGCGTTCTTTTCATTCATCGTGTCTGTATTGCTTTTTCTTTTTTTTCCCCTCATTTACCTAATGTCATGCCTCCGTCCTCCTTCCTACCCTCTCATTGATGTGGCTAGTTGAATAAACACTCGACTTGTAGGCAAAGGACTCATGGGAGTGGGGTGTGAGAAGTGACTGTAAAATTTGACACAATAAACATTAATCTGAAAATCATTTATGTGTGATTTGGGAGTAGTTTTTATGATTTTCTTAGCAGACTTTTATTTTTGGAGGGAGTGAGGAGGACACTTTGCAATACTGATGAGCTTGAATTGAGATTAGGATACAGGTAATGCTACCTCTCAAAAGTGAAAAAATAATTCTGTTGGCCAATTAAAGTAGGAGAAATAGACAAGATATCAGACAGCATACTTGAGTGTTATTTCAATAGGTGTAAAATTCCACTTTTGATTAAGGATTAAGCTCTGTAGGTTGATGTAAATGATTGTGCTTACACAGTCAAATGTTCTGATTGCAGTCACGTCGTTTTTTTTTTTTTAAGATTTATTTTTATTATTTTTTTATTGGAAAGGCAGATATACAGAGAGGAGAGACAGAGAGGAAGATCTTCTGTCCAATGATTCACTCCCCAAGTGAGCGCAACAGCCGATGCTATGCCGATCCGAAGCCAGGAGCCTCTTCCAGGTCTCCCATGCAGGTGCAGGTTCCCAAAGCTTTGGGCTGTCCTCAACTGCTTTCCCGGGCCACAGGCAGGGAGCTGGAAGGGAAGCGGGGCTGCCGGGATAGAACCGGCGCTCATATGGGATCCCGGGCGTGCAAGGCGAGGACCTTAACCACTGTGCCACCACGCCGGGCCCACGTCGTTTTCTTTAATAACTTGTTAGGGAGTTGCATGGAGAACATACTGATTTTCCTCTTACAGTGATTTGTAAAGGTAAAGCAAAATATTCTCTTAAAAATCATCTTAATTTCCTTTTTTACTGCTATTCATAAATAATTAAACATATACTTTTAATGTTTTGACCAAAAAAGAGAACAGCGTATTTCTCTTAAGCCAAGTTATGTCATGTTGGTGTTGTTAAACCACACTTAGATTTGGACAAGCGAAACTAGGCTAAGAAATGTGGGCCGAGTGCCAATTGCTTCTTACTCCGCTGCCTCTCCTCTTCATACTAGCATTATGAAATAGAATAGGGCAAACGGTTGGGAGGACTTGATGGTCCTCAATGATCCTGAGTTTATAATGATAAATTTTATGTGTGTCCATCTTTAAGATCTTAGTATTCAATCATTTCAATGTGAAATACTTAATACCGAGTAAGTAATAATACATGGCAGCAGTATTTTTCTTTTTAAGATTTATGTATTTTTCTTGGAAAGATTTACAGAGGGAAGGAGAGACAGAAAGATCCTGCATCCACTGCCTTTCCATGAAATTTGAGTGTTGACTCATGGAGTACTACTGCATCAAGGTTCAGAATTCACAGGAATTCCAGGGACCCTATCCCGGGAGAGTTTCTTGGGTTTCATCCTCAGAGATTCTGATCGCGTGTTCCTGGGATGGTGCCAGGGACTGGGGTTTGTAACAGCCCCGGGTGATGCTGCAGAACCAGGCTGAGCCGGATGCTGTGGAGTTAGCGAAAGTGTTCAGACCTTGAAAAGGAGAGTTGGTTCTTTGGGTTTCAGGTTTATGCCTGAATGTTTTGTGGTCCCATGTGACATAATTATGAACTCCAAATTGTGCTTTGTTATTTTATATCTAGAGGCTAATATAGGATTTAGCCAAATCAGAAAGGTTTGATATGTTCTTGTACTGTCATGTCCCTTGTGTTATTGTATGAGCCATAATCGCGTCTTACGTGAGCAGTTGGATTTAAATAAAATTGTCTGCATTTTTATAAAAATTTTACTTAGAAAATAAATTCTAATGATTAAAGATCAATGTGGTTTTTTTTCTCTTTCATTTCCAGGCAGTGCTTAATTTTCCCAAGTATTGTGAGCCTGTGGTCAAAGGAGAAGGTAACGGTATAATCTTCCCTATTAGTAATCGTACCGAGAAATGTTTTCATCCGATCCGAGTTTTGTTCTCCTGTTTGTGCAGCAAGCGAGCGCGATACGCGGAAGCTGTGGAGAAACATCGAGCCTCACTTGAAGAAGGCCATGCAGGCCGTGTACCTGAGGGAGGTGTCAAGGTGAGTCACTCATGTGCTGTTCCCACATTGTTTGTTTGGGAGACTTGTTTTACCCAAGTCTGTATTCCTTTACCGCCCTTCCATTGCTGCGGAAAGCTACGGAATTCATTCGTTTTCTTTGGTTAGGGCAAACAATTTTTAACCAACATATATATATTTTTTAATCTGGAAAGTTATAGGAAGACCCATACTAGCTTTGTTTTTCCCTATTTCTGCCTGGTATTTGAATGAGATGCTGCAGAGAAGAACCATCTTAGACCTGCATCTCTCTGTGTGAGTTCCATAGTACTGAAGGCACTTGGTGACAGATGGTGTTGGTGGAAGAGCTGGGTTTGCATTTTCAGCTCGGCCGTTGGCTGCTCTGTGTGATGTCAGCAAGTCGGCCAGAGCCCGTGGACTGTCGTGGCTTCCTCCACCAGCCCTTAGATTTATACAGTATGTGTGACAATGATCTGTGGCCACTCAATGGCTTTCCAGTCAATTTGTGACTATTTTTCCCTCCTTACTACTCTTGCTTATTTTTTTTTCCTTCAATTCAGTTAGCTGATTAAACTGCATTTTGGGTAAATATTTCATCGTTTCTGAATTAGCAGAAATATTATCAAGATATTATTGTCTCCCTTCTGTTTTCAACAATAAAAATTCTCTTGATGAGAGCTTTTCTATGTCGCAGAAGGGAAAACCTTGCCAAAGACAGGAAAACTTGTAGAATTTTTTAAACGATTCTTCCATAATGTTGAAACCCACAGGATGATTGTGGCCACTTAAATTCAACTTTGCACACAATTCGTAAGAGCGAATTAAGTCACTGGTGACCCCCTCCTTGGCTGCAGCGTAACTAGGAGTCAGAAATTGCTAGAAACTTCAGTTTAGATGTAAACACTTGAGAGTTAAACACCGAAGCTGGAGAGCACTCTGGAGCTCTTGCTGCGGTGACAAGTCAGAGAGGAGAGGACAGCAGGGCAGCCTGAACTGCTAGGCCGCACCCCCGTCCCCACAGGACGATGTGCTTTGTGTGTATACTGGTGAAAAGGGGCGTTTACTTCCCGTATCCCGGGGTCTGGGTTGCCGTCCTTGCTCTGCCCCCCATCCAGCTCTTTAGCAGTGTGCTTTGAGGGGAGGCAGCAGGCGATGGTGCAAGCACAGAACCACGAGGGACTTCCAGGCTCCTGGCCCCTGCCTGGTCTGGTACGAGCTCTGGTGGGGCCGAGTGGGGAGTAAACCAGCAGCTGGAAACCTCCCTCCTCTCTCCCTCTCTCCCTCTCTCTCTGCCTTCCAAATAATGAAATTAATTAAAAAGTAATGTGCTTGGCCAGACTTCCTATGGCAGTGTTGGGAGAGGAGTGCCTCACGAGAATCTTGCTTTAGAAGTGTGTATTAGGCATTAGATGTCTGGGGGAAAGGACAAAGAAAGGAAGAGGTGGAAGTTAAGGAGTCCTCCGTCTGCTAAAAGAAAACAGAATCAGAAAGTGAGCCAGTGCATCGCCTTCAGGAGGGCAGTTGATGTTAAGAAACGTTGCTCCAGTTTGTTTTGCGGAGTACAGCACTGTTTTTTTTTTTTTAGATTTATTTTTTTATTATTATTTTTTTTATTGGAAAGGCGGATATACAGAGAGGAGAGACAGAGAGGAAGATCTTCCGTCCGATGATTCACTCCCCAAGTGAGCGCAACGGGCCGATGCTATGCCGATCCGAAGCCAGGAGCCTCTTCCGGGTCTCCCACGCGGGTGCAGGGTCCCAAAGCTTTGGGCCATCCTCGACTGCTTTCCCAGGCCACAGGCAGGGAGCTGGAAGGGAAGCGGGGCTGCCGGGATTAGAACTGGCGCCCATATGAGCACTTTAAAATTAAGAAAGCTGCAGTCGCATCCCCGGACATCGCCCCGATCCACGCAAACACCAGAGATAAATTAAATTCCTCTCTTCCCACCCAAAACGAGGAAGATTTTGAAACTTTATACGGAAGCCCTCTCAGAGAAGAAACTGGTAGTTTAAATTAGAATGTAAGGAGTCCGGAATCACTGGCGGAAGGATGCACAGATGGGAAACAAACTTGATCAATGCACGAATGAAATTCAAATAGAAACAGTCCTGTCACAAGTGAAGTAGTGGGCCTGGCGCAATGGCTCGATGGCTAATCCTCCACCTCCAAGCGCTGGGGTCCCATGTGGGCATTGCTTCGTGCTCTCCCTGCTCCACTTCCCATCCAGCTCTCTGCCTGTGGCCTGGGAAAGCAGCGGAGGACGGCCCAAAGCCAGCCTTGGGACCCTGAGACCATGTGGGGGACCCGGAAGAGACTCCTGGCTTTGGATCAGCTCAGCTCTGGCCGTTGTGGCCATTTTGGGAGTCAGTGGATGAGAGATCTTTCTCCCTTTTTCTCCTTCCCTCCGTAAATGCAATTTGCCTTTCCAATTAAATTAAACATATATATGTATATATATATATATATATATATATATATTTATGTATATATTTAAAAGAAGTTGTATCCAAATAAGGGTAGATTCAACCAAAAGTTACATAGGGAACATTGAGGGAAGGAATGAAAAACAAAAAACCAAAAAAAAAGAAAAAAAAAGCCAGAGAATTTTAACTAAATAAAAAGGTAAATAAAAGGGTAAGCCTGTATCCCACATTCTAGCACCTGGTTCGAGTCCTGGCTCTTCTCTTTTTGACGAGGCGTCCTGCTCACTCACCCTGGAAAGCGACAGGTGATGGCTGAGTTCCTTGGCTCTCTCTTAGCTCATGCTGCTGGCTTCGGCGTGGCCCAGCCCTGACTGCTACACACACCTGAATGATCTCTCTCTCAATCCAAATAAAATGAAAACAGATAAATCACAATTATAAAAAAAAAATAGTGTGTACACAGACAATTGACTGTATCTAAAATACTGAGTTTTGACTATGAGTAAGCAGTAATATTTCTTGGTACCTTTTTGGATGTCTTTATGATCCAACAAATTACTCAGATATTAACATGCATACTGCAAATACATAGATATATATTTTAATGCCCACTAAATGATGTTATACAGATACAGTACGTACATTTTATACAGAGAGAACGTCTTGTCTATAAACAAAAAAAAAACTTTTGATTCTTGTAGGGCTCTGTTTTGAGTACAGCTTAGTGATTCCATGTGTTTTCAGTCCTGTTTGCTTTATTTTTTTTCAGTTCCCAGTGGGAAAAGCTGCAGAATGGTGACACAGATCCGGGACAAGTGAAAGGTACCAGCGTGTGACTGTCACACACTGAGACAGCTGTGAGAGCCGCCCCTGGGGTCCAGAGTGTGTGCCGCGAGGGCGGGAGGGGCATGATGGGGAGTTTGCACCTCAAGCAGCAGTAGTAGTCATCTTTTGATTTTTTGCTCTCGCTGAAGCTTCGTTTTTAATGGAAGGAAAGAGAATCCAAATACGAGTTTTCTGTTTTCTAAATATTGGACTATGGAGATCAAGTAGCTGGTCTGCCTTCCCATGTTTTGTTGACACAGGTCGGTTATAATGGTGCGGTCTCTGTGTCACATGATGTTTTAAGGAATAAGGTACAATTTTTTTTTTCTCTCAGTTTAGGGGTTGCATTTTAGTCATTGTGCTTTAAAAGCTTTCTAGTTTTCATTTTTATCAAGGCAGATATTTGGATTTTCCCGAAATAGAATTGCTCTTGCATGATAGGGATAAAAACGTGAGCTCCGCCTCTTAGTGAGTTCGGTGGCTCGCGATTGGGGGAGGCGGCGTGAAATGGTGACGCCGTGGTTTCGCTTGTCCGTAGGATTCCTCGGTCGTACACACTGAACGCCTCCCGTGTAGAACAGGTGATTTCCAGTCCGTTGCAAGGGAAAAGGAGGGATTCTAGAGTTTAGAAAAGCCGACAGTGGCTGCCCTGCATGCCTTGCTAACCGTGTGAGCCTGAAGCCAGCTCCGTTTCTTCATCTGTAGGAACAGCAAGCACCCGGGGCGAGGCTGAAGGAAAACGCTTAGCAGAATGTCTGAGTTAAACCAGCAGGCAGCAGATTCCGCCTCTCCCCCACAGATCAGTGCTGTGTGACGAACTTGTGTTTTATTCATTCATTACTCCCCGCGCAAGGCATCGTTACGTCTGCCAGAAAATACATGTGAAATGTTTCTCCTCGGTGTCGTATAATAGCTTAGTATAAGATAAAATTTCTGTGTAATTAACTGTTTACGTCACGCACAGTGTTAACTGGTTGTATGTGACATGTGCAGGGTACGGATTCGTAGAGGAAATCACTTGTTTGTGTTTTGGGGTGGATGGGGAGTAACGGGGAAGGTTACTTCGACCAGAACACACTGCTCGGAAATCAACAGGTAGGTGAGAGGCGGCGCTGAGAGCCCGACAGATTCCTTCATACAAGTATTTTGTTGCACAGGTCTCTCAGCGTATAACCACGTGGAACTCCCATATTACTCTAAGTTTATTCTGATCGCCGCATACCTTGCTTCGTACAACCCAGCAAGAACCGACAAGAGGTTCTTCCTTAAGGTAACAGTAGCAGGAATCTTGGCGCGTTGTTTCTGATGATCCCAGGAATATTTTCAAATTTCACCACTTGAAAGTTTGTAAGGACCCCCGCATTAGAATAAGAAATAGCTAGATAGATTTAGTACCCATTCCTTGTCTGCTTGCCATTGACAATCTGAGACGTGGACAAGCATAAGTAGTTCTACAAGAGAGAAAAAATTAAGTATATCTTAAGCAATAATTCTAGATTTCAGAAATTATGTAGCTGAAGGTTGTTTCATTAAACATGTTTGGAGTGCAGAGTTAGGGATAGGAAAGGACAGAGAAGTCTTTATCCACTATGCCACAGTACAGGGCCCATCCTCTCACCCTTGCACTGCAGGAGTGCGGTGGCCCCCGGTCCCAGTCCACACAGGAGCCTCGCCCTGCCGCCTGTGCCCAGCCCCGTCCTCGCTGTGGCCTCTGCTCTCCTCGGCACATTCGGATCTACAGCCTTTAATTGTGTTCCGTCTTTCTGGAGATCTGCTTTCTTACTCCTCACCTTAAGGCCTCGGGGTAGCTGATGTCTTTCCTGCACAGTCCCCCTCGGATAACCCGTCGTAAGTGGGTTATCTTTGTCGTTTCCTAGTTAGCTAGGAAGTCGGCTTTCCTCTCTGGGTTTAATACGATTTATAATACATTTTCCTTTTATTAGTTTTTTTTTTCTTGTTATCTGTCTGCTTAGAGTTTAGTAGTCGGCTGTGGGGTTATTTGGTCCCCAGTGCCTAGCCAGATGCTCTCAGGGTAATTTATCATTGAAATTGCCAACCTTCTTTAACAGATAGATGTAAAAAACCCTTACTTTTGGAAATTCTGTTTTTACAGCTGTAAGTACACTAAACCAATTTACTTTTTTTGGAAAGTATTATTTTGTCTTAAAACCTTTCTTTATATGTAAAATTAATCATAACATCCAATCTAAATCAAGTAAGTCTAAAGTATGTTGGACTCTAATAATAATATACATATGCATGATGACAAGAACAAAATTTAAAATCCCAAGACACATAAATTAATCTCTTCCAACTATTAAGCAGATTGTATTTCCTGCTGTGTGATACACTGGCTCTCCAGCTTACAATTTTTTTCTTTTCTTGCAGCATCATGGGAAAATCAAGAAAACCAACTTTCTAAAGAAACATGAAAAGGTATTGACATTTTAATATCTTAATGGGAGAAACGTGAATTGCGGGTTCTGTGCAGAATGGGTCGGTGGGTGACTGCGTTACTCACTTGCATTGAAGAACTTCCTTGCGTTGGCGTGTCACCAGTCTGGCGCTCTGACAGCGTCCTGCCGAGTGCAGTGACTGAAGGCACGTTGGTATGAGCCAGTGCTGGAGATGAAAGTGCACTGACAGAGCGTATCAGCGACCCGACCCCGCAGATGAGCAGATCACCCCGAGTTATTTAAACACGGTAGATGAAATACAAGCATTTTCCTCTTTCCCCCAAGAAAGGACATTGGACTAGGCAAATGAGTGACTTCCCACTGCCATTGGAACAGTTGGGTGACTGAGCAGATCAAGAAGCTGACATTCTGCTCGTTAGCGTGTTTAGCAGAACGAATCTAACTGTCGTCACTGGGAACCGAAGCTACCGAGAGTGAGTACCCCGATGTTGAGGAAGTTGGTCTTCTTTTCTCTTCAGACGAGCAATCATCTGCTTGGACCAAAGCCCTTCCCGCTGGACAGGTTGCTGGCCATCCTGTATAGCATCGTGGACAGCAGGGTTGCTCCGACAGCGAATATCTTCTCGCAGGTAGGGCATCCTTGTGCAAGTCTTCAGGTGATGTCATCGCTGGTATTCCAGATGCTCGACTTCTAGCAGGTGTATGTTACTCTTGGGATAATGTGTGGGTTTTGTGTTGGTGATTTCATTCAGCTACTGGTCAAAAATACTTTTAGGGAATAAAAAATAGCATTTGTACTAAACACATACGGAATTTTATATCTTGTCATTCCCTAAAGTGTACACAGCTACTTACATAGCATTTACATATGTTAGGCATTCTACAGATAATGTGAGTGGGTAGGAGGTTATCTGTGGCTTATGTGGAAATAGCATTTTATGTAAGGGGCTTGAATGTCTCTGTGTAGGTTTTGATGTTGCTGGGAATCTTTGAATCATTTCCTTGTCCATTGAGGGACATTTGTAACTGAGAATTCCAAATATAGAGTCTTGGGGAGTATACCACTGTATTTGTAAGTATATCCCCATGGCAAAAAACAATTTACTATTTTTAGCTTTTTCCTTTTTTTTTTTTTTTTAAAGATTTGTTTTTGTTGAGTGGCAGATTTTTCAGAGAGAGAAGGAGAGACAGAGAAGGTTTTCTGTCCGCTGGCCTACTCCCCAAATGACCACAATATCCAGAGCTGAGCTGATTCAAAGCCAGGAGATTCTTCCAGGTCTCCCATGTGGGTGCAGGGGCCCTTGAACTTGGACCGTCCTCTGCTGCTTCCCCAGGCTATAAGCAGAGAGCTGGACATGAAGTGGAGCAGCCGGGACACGAACAGACGCCCTTACAGGATGCTGGACCCTCAAGGCGGGAGGGCTCATTAGCTGTGCCTCTGCACCTGCCTCTTTAATCAAAGAATTTCTAAGATGAAATTATTGTAGTTATATTAATAAACAGGTTGATTAAATTGATGGATTATAGTATGGGGCATGTAATTAATAAAATAGCATTTTAGAATGTGTTTAGAAGAAAATAATCATAGTGCCTGATATTTGTGCACCTATTTGTCACGTAAGTTCCAGTTTGTTGATACTGGATTGATGCTGAGATTTTTAAGAAAACATGTATTTTTCGAAGTTCCGGAATGCTCACTAGGTGGCAGTAGCAGCATAAATGTGAAGGGAAGGATTTATTTTTTATTTTATTTATTAGTTTGCATTTTCAGAGAACTTAGTCTAATCACAGTAGACATCTTCAGTGGTCCAGAAAAAAAATATCTAGTAAGAAGTTGGAAGCAAAAAACAAAATGGTGTGAATTATATTTACTGAAAACAAAGTCCTCTCAGATGTTGTGAAAAAGCATTTTATGAGTGAATTTTTACACCAACACATATGTGAAATAATAGGATTTACATATAAATTGATTCACTGTGAGTAAGTCTGGTCCCAGAATGACCTGGCATCATCACGCTTTGCATTGTGGTGAGGATTTTAAATTCTTTATTTGAAAAAGGCATTTAATGGCAAAATCCTCACCTTGTGTGAGCCGGGGTCCCATATAGACAGGTTTGTGTCCCGGCAGCTCCACTTCCCATCCAGCTCCCTGCTTGTGGCCTGGGAAAGCAGTGGAGGACGGCCCAAAGCCTTGGGACCCCGCACCTGCATGGGAGACCTGGAGGATGCTCCTGGCTCCTGGCTTCAGATTGGCTCAGCTCTGGCTGCCCGTTGCAGCCACTTGGAGAGTGAGCCAGCAGCTGGAAGATCTTTCTCTCTGTCTCTCCTGTCAGTTTCCTCCTCACAGCTCAGGACGTTCTCACAGGTCCATCCATGTCACCTGAGAGTTCTACCCCCAGCCCCGCCCACTTGCCAGTCATCATTAGGCAGTCACCTGGGAAGTTCAGGCACCAGTCCCCTGGGGCCTGGCCTCAGCCTGTCTAGGCAGATTGGAACAGGATAAACGAGTAGCAAATCTAGTCATAGAAAATGATGGAGCTCGCTCGCTGTTGAGTAACAAATCAAATGTGTTGCTTGTACAAAACAAAATAATAAGAATGGGTGAATAAGAAGGAAGGGTAGTGGATAAAAGTCCCCTAATGAGAGGGAGCGTTCGGCAGTAAGGAACCTAACAGCAAGCCAGCCCGCTGTGAACTGCCGCGGCAGGTGCTTGGACGTCCTGGTCCTGGACAAAGTGATGCCTTTGTGTTGAGAAGTTGGAACTGAGTTTAGTTGTAACAATTCACTTAGCAACTTGGTCGTACTAATGCCACATAAGATATGGAGAGTACGTGGTTATAAGCTGCAACTAGTCCTGTTTGACCTTTGCTCTCTCTTGCATTAGAAAATATCCGAAAAATATACATACTGCCTGCAGAAGCAAAATGTGACAGGAATTGCATCAAAAAGGTGCTTTCTATTTTTATTTCATACTTTTCTTCACATGAAAAATGTTTTGCCCATAAGAATGGCAATTTGTATTCATCCTGTGAATATAAGATTTTATTAGTGCACTAGAGAAATGATAGTGTCTGTTGCAAGTATTTGGTATGAACACTAGGTGGCAGTCTTGTATTTTAACTTTAAACTGGGAAATAGCTTTTCGTTTTAATATTGTGTCACCTGTGAAGTTGTCTGTTAATTTGACACATTGATTAATTTTACTAAGAGTAAAATTTGCTGAAGCACCTTAATTATTTACACGCATGCACACTTTCATGCCTGCGTAAAGAAAGTTAGTATGGATATAAATTGCCTTTTGTCGGTTACAGTATATTCCAGTGAGATGAGGGTCTATTATTTTCCCATTTATTTATCTCTGTTGGAGAGAGGGGACAGAGACAGAGCTCTCCTATGTCCTGGTTCACTTTCAGATGTTCACAGCGGCCGGGCAGCACCCGACCAAAGCCGTAAGCCTGCCACGACACGGGCTTCCCACACGAGCCTTGGTGACCCACCCGTTGGCGAGGGGCCCAGGCACCGGGCTTCGGGAGGGACACGAGCCGAGCGCCCCGGAGCCACACTGCCAAACACCTGTCTGGATTCCCTTTACTTATTTTATAGAAATGAATTCTTTTTCTAGCTTTATTTGCCACTCACATAATTATGTAGATTTCTTGTCGTATGTAATGGATTGGTCCTGTGTGACCGTACATTCAAAATTCCCTCGCAGCCGAAGTTTATTTCTGCTGCATTTAATTTAAATCTTCTTAGATATGATTTATAATGATTTTTTTTTTAAGCTCAAGGAATCCTTAAAGTTTATTGGAATTCCAGTGGAGAACGATGAACAGCCATAACAGTAGATTAACTAATATTTCCTTATTGAATTTTAAATTCTCATTAACTTGTGAGAACGGTAGTTGCACATTTCATATTTTAAATTATGTCAGTGCTCAGATGTATTGAACTAAAATACAATTAAACTTTTTTTTTTCTTATAAAGATTTATTTTATTTTGTAAGAACAACTGAAATGGGGACGGGGGACCAGGAGAGAGAGAAAAAGAGAGAGAGAGAGAGAGAGATCAGTCTTCTTCTACTGGTTCATTCCCCAAATGGCCAGCATGGTCGGGCTCGGGCCAGACCACGCCTGGGAGTCAGGAGCTCCGCCTGGGTTTCCCACGTGGGTGACAGTGACAGTTTCTTGGGCCATTTTCCGCTGCTTTCTCAGGCACCGGTACCAGGAAGCTGGCTCCGAAGTGAGGCAGCCAGGGCTTGAAACCCATTACTCCTAAGTGGTATTTAGCATAGAAGATGGTGGCTTAACCCACCGCACCGCAACACCAGCCTTTTTCTTAGGGATTTAAGATCATTTCAGCGTTATCCCGTTTATACCTTTAATGTAACCGAGAAGTCATTTAACAGGTTTTCGTTCAAATAAAATAAACGCACTCCTGTTTTGTACAAGGAAGCATCAAAAAGCTCATGAAAAGCAATTAAAACAAAAGTTTATTTTAATGCAAAATAAATTTGAGATGCATGCATAAGGTTTTTCACGATACTGTGTTTCAAACTCTTTTGCTAGACACTTTTCAATCCAAATAAGTTGATTGATGATGGTTTAGGATCGTAAGACCTCTCTACCTTAAAATTAATTTGCCTATGACATAGTATAATGGCTGTTACATTCGTGTTTCTACAGGAAGCGCTAAATGGCAGTTACGCCGTGTCTGCTAAATGGGAGTCGCAGGGCGTTCAGAGTCAGTAGCTAAAATGACTGTCAGATGCGTGGGACTAGATTTAAACTCGGACCTTGTGAGCGTCAGACATAGCATCCTGAAATCTAGCTGAAAGGTGCTCGGGTTGAAATGACTTGTTGTCATCTCGATAAACCTCACGTTTGGTGCTAAAAGGAGCAGCTTACCTGGAAAGCGTTGCACCAGCGGGAGCTTAGCACAAGCGCAGGGCCCGTCTTGGGCAGTGTCTCTGTGCTTCCGCAGGTTTGTGCCAGCTGTCCAGTGTCTCTCTGCCTCCCCAGCAGAAATTCTTAATACTGTTAAGGTGCATTATGTAGTGGATCACAGGCCGTTTCTGGGATGTTCATATTTGCTCATCATCTGATCAGGTTTTTCTTGCTGAGCGTGACTGAGCGTTGCGTGCGTGCCGCTCCAGCCAGCCAGCCAGGGCACCTTACTTCACGCCCGCTTCGCTGGCTAACAGGTCAGCAGGGGTGCAGTTGGCAAGAGGCTGGCTCTTGGCCGAGCAGCTCGGGGTACCGCTGCCCTGACGCGCAGCCTCCGCTGGGGCAGTAAATGAGATTCTGAAATCTCTGCTTGCCCGCGGTGTGGATGCGTTACCGTTTGGCCGTGGGACCCACCGTGCGGGAGCTGCATAACCATTTTGCATCTTACAAATAAATAGATCAGCCCAGCACTAGGCATTTCTGCTGAACTCTAGCAACATGGAATCATTGCTGAAGGGTGACATGTAAAATCCTGCCTTGGGGACCAGAAAAACATTGCATGAACTCTGCCCCCTTCTGCCATCCAGGCTCATGCATTGGCACCTTGTCGTTGTAGGCACATTGTAACTACCTTTCTCAAGAGCTAGTATGACTTCCGGTAAATGTACCGAATGTATATCCTTTA